ATATAAATGAGTTACATTTTTTCTCGGTTCATTGTCATGTTTTTATCATCCAGAATTGTGTTGTGGCAATTATTGTATCCCGCAAACATAAATTGTAGACGATAGCTGATGTAGCTGATAACAAATGGGAAATGCTGTGTGACACTGGTTACTGATTCACCACATTCACTACAATTTCATGGTAAGAATTGATTAAGAAATCAGAAAATCCATGTCTTAACCATGAGCTTTCAAAGAATAGGTACATCATACCACTCACTGAAAGGCAATCCACAAATGGACCAGTTTTGTTTAGTTGTTCAGGGTAAGTTTTACCTGTAGATTACAATGTTTTATTATATTTTATTTTGACTGTTACAGTTTTACAAACTTTTTTCCATACTTTGTTGTCAGTAGTTTATCACATGCTGTGGTCATGAAAGTAGGTGTGGTAGTGTCCAGTGCTCTGCTGGTTTCTGCTTTGGTTGATTTCTATAAAATTCTGTAAACATGATAAGTGCCTTTCGTAGATCTGCATATGGGTTTTAGTGTTGACTTTCAAAAAAATCCTTTTAGTTAAGCCCTGTTTCCCATCAAATGATTTTGTCCTAAGCAGCTTACATCCTTGACTCAACTAACCAAAGTTAAGATGTCTAAGGTTTTTTTTTCCTTTTTTTTTTGAAGCTCAGAGTTTCAACTTTCTATAAGGTATTTACATCATTTAATTTTTAAAAAAAAATTCAATGAAATGAAAAAAATAACACAGAATTTAACCTACTTAACAGGTAATTATCTTTTCTCAATAAACTTTTTTGATTGATGGATTAAAAATACATACACCTCCTTTTGCCTAGTATCCTAGTCAAAAACTCTTGGTCATATCAGATATAATAGAATTCAAGTTTGCCAAGTTCACAACAAAAACAGGCAACATATCTGGTATATACCAAGATGATTTAATTGTTTTGCGCTTACAGGTTAGAAATTGGCAGTAAGGAAATGTTTATAAGAAATTATTTATTAAGTATGGAATTTAATCTATAAACCCTCACTTTAGTGCTTCATTTTCCAACAAATATTAGTTTTACTTTCAGTGGCCCTTTTTTTTCTTCAGTGATTGTTTTTGTCTTATTTAGTGGAGTTACAAAATGTGCAACTTAATAGAGCTTTGTGTAACATGAAGTGGATGTATTTGATGTTTGTTAGTTTGCCTGTTGGTTTGGTTGTTGTATACCTTGCTCTCTTTTGAGAAAATGGCTTTACTAACCTAGATTGACCAAGCTTTACATTGCGAGTGTGGTCAATGAAGCAGAAGACGCTTATTCTCCCAGAACACCTGGTCTTTTTCTCCTTGTACTTTTTCAGGAGTCTCTTTGTAAATCTTTCCATTTCTTTTGTTCATGTTTCGCCTTAGTTTCATGATATTTGAGTTTGAATTATGATTCTGTTGCCATGTTGATATTTTCTTGATGCTTTTAGCCAACCATCATTAGATGGTGGGCTATTCCAATCGCCCTGTGTCTGTGGTCCACCAACCGTAAACAATTGTTGTCATTGCTATCTCTTGACAAGTGTTCGATGGTTCTTTCATTAATTTCATATGTAAGTTCCCCTTGGTCCTAGTTGTGCCAGTATGATTTTGGGTCTTATCAGTAAAACAAAATGTCCAACAGCCAGCCATCATGGACTTTGACTTTGCAAATTTGTTATCACTATTTTTTAAGACCTACTGTATAGATCTTTCTCAAATTTCGTATATAGGTTCCTAGTTGTGGTCATGTAATTATGGGACTTATCAGAAAAACAAAATGGCTGACAGACAGCGATCTTGGATTTTGACTTTAAAAGTTTGTTATTGCTTTTTTCTTTGGAAGTACTGGATGGATCTTTCTCAAATTTCATGTGTATGCTTTCCTTGAAACCTAGTTGTGCCTGTTTGATTTTGGTACTTATAAGAAAAAACAAAATGGCCAACAAGTGGCCATCTTGGATTTTGATGTCGAAAGTTTGTTATCACTATTTCTTGAGTACTACTGTATAGATCTTTCTCAAATTTCATGTATAGGGTTCTTTAGGTCCCAAGTTGTGCCTATTTTGGGATTGATCAGAAAAACAAAATGGCCGACAAGTACCCATCTTAGATTTTGTCTAGTAAAGATTGTTATCCCTATTTCTTCTGAAGTACTGAAAATACATCCCTCAAATTTTATATGTTTGTTCCCTTGGTCTCTCCTAGTGGTCGTTTGGGGCTAATCAGAAGAAACAAAATGGCTTCCAGAGTGACCATTTTAGATTTGGTAGGTTAAAATTATCATCGCTATTTCTGCAATGGAATGTTAAAATGTCTTATCATTAAAAGCAAAAACAGAGAAGAGAAAAGAATGGAAAGGATCCAACTTTAAAGTGCATATAAAGATCCAACAATGGTGGACACCAAGATCCCTCTTGAATTTCTTGTTTTTTGATAGAGCTACTGGCCAGGTTCCATATTACTTTTGGTTTTAGAAATGAATTCGGTTGAATACTTAAGTATTTTCTTTTAGAATTGTGGTATTTTATTAAAACACATTATTTATTGAAATTATTTAATTCCAACTGTCAATCTTTCCAGCTTTTTTTACATAGTATTTAGTCATGGTAATTGTATTTATACAAAATATATATAGATGTGTTTTTTTCTTATGTCATAGATATACTGGTAATTAGTTTTTATATATACCATATATTGTTTATTTTTTGCTGATGGGTTTTTGATGAATATAAAAAGGGATCTGAAATTTGTAAGATTTCCTATTATTTACAAGGCATAATACTAAGTATCAAACGATTGATTTAAGGAAAGATCTTTCCACCCAACTAGATGTGCTTCTGTAGCTTTAAAATCACTCAGAGGTACCGATATTCTTAGGCAGCTTTGAGATTATATTAAGATATGCATAGGTAGTTTTGAAATTTTATCATGGCTTAGATATTATGCAAGAAATGTTGCTTCGGTTGTATTTTCAAGTCTCTTTGTTTAGGTTCAGATACTGTAAAAGCTATTTTCTAGGGCTTCTTTGTTTTGCTTCTTTGAGGATATAATTGTGTAAAATAAGCACCATGATGGTATATAAGGTTAATAAAGAAATCAAAGCAATATGTCATGAATTCTATGAAAATTCATTTTTGACTCTAGCGTTTAGTAAGCCAAAGGACCCCAAACTTTTACAGTAATTTGTGGTTTCTTTTAAACAGATTTCTGTACCACCGAAGAAAGAAGGCATTTACATACCAGTCACGCTGAAATTTAGATCTGACACTGTTTAGTAGATAATTATACACAGTATTTTTTTAATGATCTTTCGTATTCATCTCGCTACAAACCCAGGGGCCAATACATTACCTCTGAACCAAAGATTTCTGGCAAGGAATTAAAAGCTGTTAGTATGTTTTCCTATCCTAAGTGTACTGTATGTATGTGTAATATGGTGAATGTTTTGATATTGTTCTAAATTAGGGTGTAGGCTTATCACAGGACAATGAAATACATTTTGTAATGCTTCTAAATGATTTGTGATGTGTAGGGGCTTTATTATCAGGCACAGGCTTATTAACAATTGCTTTTTTTTTGTAATAGTTCGTGATAATATTTCAGTGAAATTTATGAAAGGGTAGTTAATCACTTGATTACAATTTCTTTTAATCACATAATATTTCCTTATACTGAATACTGGTAAGATATTACAAGATCATTCCTACTTTGTCTATAGTATAGCATTATTTCAGAGAAGAAAAAAAAACAAAGTAAGTGAAATTTTCTTAAAATTTTGTATTGTCTCTTATGAAAATTTTTAAGAAATTCTGATAAAATTAAAGTAGATCCTTTATCAAACAATGATATACTGATATAAAGTTCAAAAGTGATATTTCGATCTGGAAATATTTGTGCATATTTCTGCATATTTCTGATATCATTGATAATAATTTCTGTCAAATTGTTTGAGTTTGAGAAAATATAAAAGTTGATCAACAATATCTCATTTTGAAATGGAAAATTTATCCAAAATCTATCCCAAAGTGGCAAATAAAACAAGTACCTCAGACTGGGTAACATCACTTGTCAGTCATTAGTTCCAAGAAGCAGTGTAAATGGCTTATTATATGTCATTGTTAGGTATGTCTTGAAATGATTCAGTTTTTTGTAATGAATCAAACACTTTTTACATTTGTATTTGTATATATTTGTGGTTGAAGAAACAAATTAGCAAAATAAAATAATTTAACATGTAATTTTTTGTGTTTGTGTTATGGGTTATTTTCAAGGTATGCTGTAGATTCAAACTTAGGCACTGTTATCTGTATGTCTAGAAAACAAAAGTGCAATATCTTAACTACTGTCTTGATGACCTATATAAATTAAACACCATTTGATTTTTGAACTTTGAAACAACATCATCTGTTGGTGTTGTTCATTGAAACATCAGTCATTTGTGTTGTTCGTGGAAGCATCAGTCATATGTATTTTCTGGGTATTAAATTTGGGTCACTCTGGCTTATGAATAAATTGGACATTTGAAAAAAGTTTGATAGTTCTGAATCAATGCAATCACAAAAACAAGAGGTGATAACATCTTAGATATTATATATGAAGCCTCAAGTGATGCTGTTGACATATACTACGAAAGCTTATTGTACAGAGATAGATATACTGGATGAGGTTAAGGGTCGAGTGCTCTATTGGGTACAACAGTCAAAAATCAATGGTGTACTCTGTTTTAAAAAAACAGAAAATGAATGTCCCCGCTCCCAAGCATGTACAAGATCTTACATAAATAGTCGAATATGACCCTTGACCCTTTAAAAAATTGACTGATGACCGAAGTATCCAACCTTCTCCTTCTCCATGACAACACAATAAAGCCGAATCGTAATGTTGTCAAGAGATACAATAGTGTAGCCAGAGAAACATTATGTCTCCCACCCAATTGGCAGTGTCCTAAACTTCCGCAAAAATGAAACATGAATAGTCATGTCTCATGAGATTAGCGTTGGTGTTCTTTTTTCTTGAAAATGAGGTCGTTCACACCCCAATCATCACGCGAGACTTTCAATATAGTTTCGTATCCATTTCTTTCCATGTATCTTTGCATACCAGAATATCCACTTGGTCCATGCGAAAACTCAACAGCTAACATTCTGATGTCAACTTTATGAAACGGTATTGTCTTGAGGACTCCCAATTCGTCTCCTTCGATGTCCAGACTGAAGAAGTCGACTGTTGTCCGGTTGATGGCCAGAAGTATAGAGTAGAGTGGAAAGCACTGCACCTAAATAAAATGTAAATGTTATGTATGTAACTTATCATAATAACGTTGTTCCCTATGGTGACAAATCTTGTTATTCTGCTGTTTTAAAAACGTGGATGAAAATAGAAAAACAAACAAATTTCATCTTTATATTAAGAATTTTATCATTTGACTACACCATTCATAAAAAGACTGGATGGCATTTGAAAAGTACAAATAAAATAAAAGCAATTAACTGAACGGTTCATACACAAGCACATACATTGATTGAACTTTTAAGGTCCCACTCAAACTTTCTGTCTCGTAATTAGTGTCTGATACCTTAGATGCCTAGGTCCAGGGTATTGAAACCTAGGAGGTGACTGAGGAAAGTATCGTGATAAATTGAACCGTCGAAGAAGTCATCACGCTGGATAGTCTTAAAACTATTCAGCACCAAAGCGACTAACTGGCAACATACCTGTTTATTAACATAACATTACGTTACGTTACGTTAGCCCAAGAAATAAATGTATGTCTTCACTCTTAAAAAAAAACTATCCGTCTTGGTAATATATCTTATCCAACATGGCACACAATCTCCAATAACAATTATCTGTTGTACCTCGATGGGAACCGCCTTCACACCCTTGCGTTTGCTCCAGGCACTCACAGAACTTTCGTGTATGATTCTGCCCAAGTTAAAGCCTTGATGATAATTCACCTAAAAGAATATTCAAATTTTTAAAATTTCATATTTACTTGCTTACTACTTACTAATTTGTACTAGTGAACATAACTTTTCAATACGGGTCACATGTAGCCAAATACACTACACCAAACAGATACTATGTTCGCCGAACAATACAGGCCCTTAGCAACACTAATGAGCCGTAGACCGTCTACGACTCATTAGTGTTGCTAAGGGCCTGTATTGTTGAAATCTAGGTGTTGACAGGGGAACTATTTTTCAAAAAAGTAGTCAAAATAGAAGTTGAAAGTTAGATTTGGCGATGTACTAACTGCAAAAACAATATCCAATATGTCTTTTTTTTCAAAGGAAACCGTATTAAACACCAATCCGAGCAGGGTGTGTATAGACATACAGACAGGTGTTCAATGTAGACATATATGATACGGTATAGTTAAACTCCTACCCGAGCAGGGTGTGTATAGACATACAGACAGGTGTTCAATGTTGACATGTATGATACGGTATAGTTAAACTCCTACCCGAGCAGGGTGTGTATAGACATACAGACAGGTGTTCAATGTAGACATGTATGATACGGTATAGTTAAACTCCTACCCGAGCAGGGTGTGTATAGACATACAGACAGGTGTTCAATGTAGACATGTATGATACGGTATAGTTAAACTCCTACCCGAGCAGGGTGTGTATAGACATACAGACAGGTGTTCAATGTAGACATGTATGATACGGTATAGTTAAACTCCTACCCGAGCAGAGTGTGTATAGACATACAGACAGGTGTTCAATGTAGACATGTATGATACGGTATAGTTAAACTCCTACCCGAACAGGGTGTGTATAGACATACAGACAGGTGTTCAATGTTGACATGTATGATACGGTATAGTTAAACTCCTACCCGAGCAGAGTGTGTATAGACATACAGACAGGTGTTCAATGTAGACATGTATGATACGGTATAGTTAAACTCCTACCCGAGCAGGGTGTGTATAGACATACAGACAGGTGTTCAATGTTGGCATGTATGATACAGCATATTCAAACACTTACCCATATTCAAACACTTACCCGAGCAGAGTGTGTATAGACATACAGACAGGTGTTCAATGTAGACATGTATGATACGGTATAGTTAAACACTTACCCGAGCAGAGTTTGTATAGACATACAGACAGGTGTTCAATGTTGGCATGTATGATACGGTATAGTTAAAGCAGGGTGTGTATAGACATACAGACAGGTGTTCAATGTTGACATGTATGATACGGTATAGTTAAACTCCTACCCGAGCAGGGTGTGTATAGACATACAGACAGGTGTTCAATGTAGACATGTATGATACGGTATAGTTAAACACTTACCCGAGCAGAGTGTGTATAGACATACAGACAGGTGTTCAATGTAGACATGTATGATACGGTATAGTTAAACACTTACCCGAGCAGAGTGTGTATAGACATACAGACAGGTGTTCAATGTAGGCATATATGATACGGTATAGTTAAACACCTACCCGAGCAGGGTGTGTATAGACATACAGACAGGTGTTCAATGTAGACATGTATGATACGGTATAGTTAAACACTTACCCGAGCAGAGTGTGTATAGACATACAGACAGGTGTTCAATGTTGGCATGTATGATACGGTATAGTTAAACACCTACCCGAGCAGGGTGTGTATAGACATACAGACAGGTGTTCAATGTTGGCATGTATGATACAGCATATTTAAACACTTACCCGAGCAGAGTGTGTATAGACATACAGACAGGTGTTCAATGTAGACATGTATGATTCATTACATGTATAGGGTGTAGACAAGCTTTCAATGTAAATAGATAAGATTGAGTACATTTAAATACCTACCCGAGCGGGGTATGTGTAGGGATACAGACAGGCGTTCATGGTAAATGCTTTTCTATGTTTGGACTTCAACATGGCGTAGTTGGATGGATCGCCTTCAATCAAAAGTCCATTCCATTTCCTCACTTTCTCAAAGAAAAGTGTGTTTGACCCCTTTTCTCCGTCCAGTCCTCCACATTCAATGTAAAACCCACCTTCCTGTACGAAAAGAATTATAACCGTGGGGATGCAAATCGTTTTCTCATTTAATAGATTATATTTTCTACACTCAAGCAATTGTGAAGGCCCATGTGATTAAAAAGAAAATTAAACTTGCAGACATATACAAGATATTTCATATCCTTAAATTAAGAAACAGAAAATTATTTTATGTGTTGACAAACAATAATTATTCGATGTCAACTTAATTTTAAAATGTCACAAAATATAATTTGTTCCTGTGGCATGGTATTATTCTACAGAAAGTAAATTAGTGTACATTATTTTTCCGTTTTCCCATCGTGTATATGAACGCACACATTATTCTTGCCGAGCCACAACGACGGACAAACACGCATCAATGACGAAATCATGACGTCAAGCTGGTGTAAAAAGAAAACGCTGATATTTGGTAACACCTACTACCAACAGTGATCCTATTTTACCCTTTAATTCCTTTAAACTATAGCAACGGATCCGTATTCTTAACAAGAAAGAAAAAGGAGGCCCCTGGGCCTTAACGGTCATCTATCTGACTACAAAAACTGTCAGTAGGGAAAAGAGTTTTTTTTATACTTTGAATGAAATCTCACTGTAAAGCTGTTTTCTATGATGCAGATGGTAGTTTTGGTGAGGAGTAGGTAATTGTAACTAGTGTTATCTAGTTTTTGAGAGTAAAGTTGGAGCTCAATTCAACTGGTGAAACTTGAGAAATTTGAAATAAGTGTTGCACAGGAAAACCATAATTGTGCGATTGTGTTACACAATGGCCTCCCTGGCAGCCATGTCGAAGTTTTGCCAAGGTCGAAAAATAACAACACTTTGTTGGCTACCTTTCCTTAACATTTCCACCAATTGTTAGCTCAATTGCACCCAATGAAACGCTGTGTTGTGAGTTAATCAGTTGTCGGCATCTTACACGAAAGTCTTGAAGTTGAAAACCAGCTCCTGAATAACGAATCAACTGTGACATGTAAAAACACCATAGATTAGGGATACGGGAATATTGCTTTGCAGAAATGGAAAGTTTACAACAGGGAAGCTGAAATCGTCACGCTTATCATACCAACTTGCTAAATAGCTGTGCCTGCTGATTTCGCAGTCAGAGGAAAAAAAGAGGATGAAGAAAGCAACCGAAGGAATCGGTCGTGTCTCTAATTGACGTCCAATCAGGTTGGCGCATACGATGGTCAATTAATGTCTCATTATATAAAAAATGACGTCATCATTATATCTGAAAGTGAAATTTAAGGACTTCGTCTAAACAATATGAGTCTAATTGTCCTGCTTGCTATAACTACTCAACACGTTGTTATGTCTACTGCTAGTAAAAAAATATGATAGTGTTATCGCCTTGTCTGTCTGTTCTATTTACTTACTATGTAGTTGAGTCTGCTGTCAACCACAGGAGTTTGTCCGTTCGAGTATTCTAACTTGTCAGGTTTATCCAAGTTGTACGGTTCCAAAGATGGTGGCTCGATATAATATTCCCTTATGAGTTGAACTAAGTGTGGGTCTGCCTGGTCCACTTTAGCATTGTTTATGTCAGCCATTAATTGCTTGTAATCGAATGACTTGTTTATGTTTTGTTCCAAAGTAGCAACATCGAATGGCTGTGCATGAACTACGTGTTTCCTTTTTTGTGAAAATGGGAAAAATCTTTCCCATTTACTTGGAGGCACTGGCTGAATAATTCTATGGTCTTCGTTGATGAGATAAAATGTGATTATCACAATGGAAATAACGGTAGCTAATGTGATTACCAGTAAAGATAAAAACATAGAAATCTTCATTGTCAAATATTAACATGAGTTTGTAGCATCGATGTATTGGTCAAATGTTTTGGCGAGTTACGTAAAAATTCTGGTGAAAATAGGGAACACGAAAGCTGATATTTACAACGAACACTAGAAACGCAGATGTATTTATCATAATTAGCAATATAGTATCTTAGTCGTTTTTATCGTTCTGAAGTTTCAAGAGACTCCGTCCAGTCGCTATACGCCACCATACAAAGGTCAGCAGCCGGTTACATCTAAAATTAAAAAAGAAATAACATTTCATTTTAAAATATGCATAATCTTGTGTTTAAAATGCATATGATATTTATAGCGAATCAAATATCAATATTCATAAATTTTGTTTGCTCCATAATATTTCACTGAGAGTAAGAGAACGGTCAGGCCAGATACACACGTGCAGATAATTACACCACTCCATTAAAGGTGATATATACCACTGCATCAACACAAAAGTTAAAATAATTCAACTTACAAGGACGGAAAATGTCAACGATTTCACGCTTACGCAAACATTACCACTTATACAAGGCATTTGATAGAATTTACGTCATGCAACACAATATATTATACTATAAGTTTACAGCTTACAAGATAAGTTTAATATTTTATAAGATATTCTATATACCGTGTATCATACCAAATATAAGGTATCTATTTCAAATTTTATCATTTGATATCGTATAAAAAATCTCAGATATATTTCATCATCAACCACGGTATATCATTCGGGTGTAGGAATTTGAAACATTTTTGCACAATATTTACATTATTGAAACAGGAATCAGTTGATAAGATAGGTAGTTACAATAAGAAATGATATTTATGATGTTGCAGCAGTGTAGGTTAACACTATGATTATTCTAAAAGTTAGAAACTGTGAATCACAATAGCAGTAATAGTGTTTTATTATTCAAGTGTTACACATGATTCAAAATAGTACATATACAATAGACACGACTTAATATTCGGACAAATTAACCAATTAAAACACAGGATTTTATAATAACGAGATTAGTCTCCGCTACTTTTATCTCAAAGGGCATCATATCTATAAGAACTCCGATGTAGTTCGGGATTATGCAGATGTTAATGAATTAAGAGTTTCATTGCACCGTTCACCTTATAAGCTTTGAACCCATGTCTGACGGAGTTAGCCAACCAGTTACACGGAATCGCCGACTATATGATAAGATCAACATGTAATGGTTGCGTTTTAAAGTCATAGTTTACTTATTGAAAATTCTGTGTAAGCTACAAGGACATATATGCGTTGCTGTCTCATTAATCAGCTGTTGATGTCATACTTTAGAAACTTGACACTATTTGGCTGTATGGTAGGGAAATAATTGTAAGTCCCGACGATTTTGTCCGGTGCGTTTACTGTGTCGAAAAAATATATTCGCACCTGTCTATAGATCATTACCATGGCTAGAAATGATTTCGTCAATCGATGTACAATTCTGATCGGTTTTTATACCTTAAATACGAGATATAAATAGTAAAATAGTATATTACCTTGGATTTCTTAATGATGTTGGTTGGCATGTTAAAACTATAGCTAAAAGATATCAGTTAGCTCGATCGTTGAATCTCTAAAGAAACCCTGTACAGAACAAAGTACAGCGTTACAGGTCAGTTGTCACCCTAACGTTCCTCTGGTTCCAGTCAATTGTCACGTGTACACACATACATACGAGTGAGATCATTCGCTCTTAGTATCTTAAGATTGTACACGAGACACGTGTGAGCGGCACTCTTAAATTTGAAATTTTCTTTGACAAAATATGCCATAAAGGCCTACTGGACAATACCGTATTGGGTAGCATAACATAACATGTCTTTATACAGATATCATAGTAAATGTGTTATCACGGACTTATATACACTTATATATTGTGTATATAAGTCCGTGGTGTTATATATGTTACAGTGAACATAAAATGTCCTTACAGAACAGATTTGATGGTGTTATCCTTGATACAAAAAAATCCCTACATATCAGCTCTGTTCCTAGTGTATCTACTGTTACAAGTGTTACCACAGTCTGCTATTTTAAACCCGTCAATGGACACACTGGTCTTGATGATCTCAGAATGTTAGGTCCGGTAACGAATCTGCTGTAATACAATGCCATGGTTTGTAAATTAACTGAAGTTTTTATTTATTTTGTTTTTTTTTTTTTTTTTAGAGTGGGGGAGGGGGGTTGAAATTCAATAACATTTCTTATTGCATGCTGAGATTTGAATCGAGAAGTCAGACTTGGCGCTGCTCGGAAGTTCTAATACTTATTTAATCGGGAACCCTCGGCACTTTCCCAGGGTTCCCGATTGATACTTATTGTGACCTCGTCATGTAGACGCTTGAAAAGAGCATCAAAGTACATCCACATGGTATGTATATTCATACGTTGTCCAAAATATTTGTCGACAACTTATGATTTTCTTTTGTCGTATATTTGCGATTTTTGTGTATTGTGTGTCACTGGACTCTGATTTCGTTTGTATCGCGGATGTATACACCCGCACACACTGACTGTTCGGATCTCGGTTCCGTCCGTTTGTACGTCACAACGACAAAGAATTGTCGAACAGTCTAAAGGCCAATTTCATACTAGCTAAACACAGTGTGACATGAATTATGAATACTGTCATTGATTCAATATTGAAAACTATTGTTTACGTCCGTTATTTTTGAAGACAAGTTGTGTTTAATAAGCTAGGACGATATCTGATTACTTCACCCATGAAAACTGGTTGAAACCAGATCGGAAACACCAAGCAACGAGTGCGTTGAACATGTATGTAGTTATAGACATACTAATTAGTGTAGCTAGTTTTCTTAGCACCACATTAATTTATTCTGACGGTTAAGATGTACTTAAGGATACCTAAGGCTATCTTTCTGGAGCAGGCCAATAAGGCTCCTCAGGTTCATTCCATCTAGTTGATGGGTCACCACTTCAGATTGTTCCTTTGTAATTGTCATACAGTACTTCCTGGTTTTTCCAATATCTATCTAGCCTATTTTTGAAGCAGTTTTTTTGTAGGAGCTGTAACAATTTCCTCTGGTAAAGAGATCCAAATGTTTATGTTCCTGTTTGTAAAATAGTGTCTCCTAATTGCTCTGGTGTTTCTTTCTGGATATATCTCTAACGAGTTTCCTCTTGTTGGCTGTCTGCATTCTGTATTTCTCCAGAGGGTGATCATATTGCTGGCTTTTCTGTCATAATGCTCATGAATAATTTTATAAATTTCAATGAGATCTCCTCTATATCTTCTGTATGATAATGTTGGTAATTTTAGTTTCCACACTGGACTGGCAAAGTCAAGGTGTGTTCTGACTAGGCTTTTGTATAGTGGGATGAAATTCTTTTCATTTAGATATTGGAAGCTTCTTCTAATTAGAGCGAACATTGAATTAGCTTTCTTGATTTTTTTCACAGATGTGTTCTTCAAATTTCAGTTGTGGGTCTATTGTAACTCTGATATCTTTCTCTTTCCCTGCCGTTTCTAACGTTTTCCCCTTCAGTTGGTATTTGCACTGATAATCAGCTCGAGATTTTCCAATGTGTAGGTGCTTACATTTGTCTGGGTGGAACTTTGATAGCCAATCTTCACTCCAATCTGACATTTTTTCTAGGTCAGCCTGCAATATTCTTTGGTCATTTTCTTCCTTTACAACTCTTGGTGTCATCTGCAAACAAGTAAATGTCCGAGTCGACCAAGCTTGGTAGGTCGTTTATAAAAATCACAAAGAGTAGCGGAGATTACTATTTGGGCAGTCTCGAATCTGTGTCTACGCACCAAAAACTAGCTTTACAGGAAGTGAAATTTTCATAGTGTTCACATGTGGTCATGTTATGAAGAATTTCCGAGTTGGAATTTGCTGAAATGTAAGTACTTTGTTACCATGACAGTGTTGTTGATTGTAAGATAGGTGTTTAGAATTAAATTTCTCCTAGAAAGTTGTAGTGTTGGGTTGGAATTAGCAGTATTTTTGCATTTTTAGCATTTTTTTAGTAGGTAACCATGACAATCAAATGTCAGAAATCAGAGGAATTTTTTTTACACAAATTTCATCTCTCTACTGTTAATGTAGTTGTTATGTAGTTTATAAATATATATACATGTAATGATGTATTTTCCATAACCAATCTGCTATACCTGTATATCTCAAACATGACAAATAATTTCAGGAAAAATGCAAATTAACTGTTTACTGCTACCTTATAGCACATTAAAAAAAATTATTTATTTAAAATGTGCTTTACTATGTTTGATTAAGTTTAATCCTTTCCATAATTGCTATAAATACATAAAAAACACACTGAAACTTGTTCATAATGATTTTATTTTAATTTCATCAGGGGTGCATAAAGGGAGGTAATTTGGGTGCTCTTGTGGGTGAGAATTTCAGCTGTTTTCAAAAGGCTTGGTGTCAGTTTGAAAACTGTTCTACAGTAGGTAACAGGTATAAAATAAGTCAGTAACAACCTTAGAATGTATTTAGACTGGATTATAGGGCAATTCCAATAGTTTAAGGTGTGGTATCCATGGTAACTAAGAAGGAAAGTATGAGTTTTTGAATTTTGGATAAATTCTCTTTTGATGATTTTTACTCAATAATGTGTGTGTATTTCTCATAGATTGGGCATACAATCATGTTAATATTGTCATAAAATTACATTTCCATAGTTACTGCTGTAAAAAATACTATTTTTCGAACAATATTGCAATGTCATAGGGTTTCTAATATTACACTTGAAGAAGGGTGGGGGGCAGTAATCATAGGTGTTTGTGATGTCATACACATGACATTTAAGAATATCTAATGTCATATCACTGTTAATTACTTTCGAGAAATGTGTTAGATGCTAATTTTAAGTTTTTGTTGGATTTCTAGCCTTCACTATGACATCACAGTGCATTGGTGAAGCCATCATTAGCAATTGATGACGTCATAGTACTGATGACATCAGCTGTTACCATGACGTCATAACATCAGACTTTATATATGTAGTATCAATCTGCTTTTCAGTTATCTAAATTCACAGAAGCACAAACTACTTGATTCAGTTTCAATTGCAACTTTATTCAAGTAAATTTAAGACTTATTGAGGTTTTAATTTTTCAAATTACCTCCCTTTCTTCCTAATTTGAGAGCAGAATTGGTCAAAACACACCATGCGGGAAAATCTATATTACTCGATAGTTATTCGAGATACACAGTAAAGCGATATATTGTTTTGTTCGTGTGATCATTTTCTAGACACTCAGAGGGATTTTAATGAAATTAAAAAAACTAATTGTGATGTATAAGGTAGCAGTACACAGTTTCTCGGTGTGGCCATGGGTGATTTTTTTGCTCATTAGATTACCCCATTATAAAGGTTTTAATTGAAAATGAAAAAAAAAATCCTTGCTGAAATTGGTTCTGTCATGTTAAAGTGGACAATATGGGGTTTCATTTTTTTCAGGATAATATTTTAGCTTTGTGTTGGAGATTACTATTTGGGCAGTCTCGAATCTGTGTCTACGCACCAAAAACTAGCTTTACAGGAAGTGAAATTTTCATAGTGTTCACATGTGGTCATGTTATGAAGAATTTCCGAGTTGGAATTTGCTGAAATGTAAGTACTTTGTTACCATGACAGTGTTGTTGATTGTAAGATAGGTGTTTAGAATTAAATTTCTCCTAGAAAGTTGTAGTGTTGGGTTGGAATTAGCAGTATTTTTGCATTTTTAGCATTTTTTTAGTAGGTAACCATGACAATCAAATGTCAGAAATCAGAGGAAATTTTTTTTTACACAAATTTCATCTCTCTACTGTTAATGTAATTGTTATATAGTTTATAAATATATATACATGTAATGATGTATTTTCCATAACCAATCTGCTATACCTGTATATCTCAAACATGACAAATAATTTCAGGAAAAATGCAAATTAACTGTTTACTGCTACCTTAGGAAGTAACCCAATGTTCTGACTAGTGAGTTTGAGCATTAATCAAGATGATCACGTCTGAGATAGTTTCATATTCTTAATTTTGGCTTGATGAGTTCAAATATTTGTTGAAATTAGATTTTTCTCCCAGCAGATAAGGCCACACAAAGTCCATATGCACAACACACTGGCCAACACTGTTTGGGTTTAAAACCCAATTTCAACAAATAGGTGTACATAGTTTGTAAGTAAGGTTACAACAAGTGCTATTTATAATAGGAAGATTGCTTATTTAAATAAGAAGGAGTTGCTTCATATATTTACATAAGTGAAAATAGCCATCTTAGCTGCCAAGACCAGACTTGCATTGTATTAATTCTAGTATAGGAGGGAAATGTAATCGATGATAATTCATAATAATTCATCAGGTATGTGTAGTACTGTTATAGTAGTAGTCAACCTGGGGGTTTAATTGTTAAATAGGAATTATTAAAGGTAATGTTTACAATACTACATTCAATGAGATAATTCTTCGTTGTGGAAATAAAGTCATGCATCATTAGAATAATTGTAAATTAGGCATTGAAAAATGGGAATCTTTTAGAACGTGAAATAAAATCTGAAACATGAGATAGGATGACACTATTTTGTGTATCATTACCAAGAACACAGCCATGTAATTAGACCTTTACACATAAATGATTATGAGTATCATGATTCAAGTTCTGTCGTAGGGTCTGTCGAATATCTGTATATCTATTTTATATCTAGTGTGTTTTCTATCTGTCAACTTGGACTTGGAAATTCAATTGTGCAGCTTTTACCAATTATACTAATTACAGCCTTGCACTGCATGTACCAACAGTTGTGGGGTTGTGTTTGGTAGTACTGGACTGTAACGGGCAGTGTGAGGCTTTCATTAGTATAACTGGTTATGGTGGCCATGAAAATAAAATATCATATAGCTACCTAGTATCCGCACTCCCCACTTTGTTCATGTAAGTTTAAGAAAAATTGTGCATGTTACGAGAGGATTTTATGGTAGTAAAATAAACCATTTATGACCGGTTTATGATCACAAATTTCACTGATTTGATGGAAAATGTATGAAAACCTACAAATTTGGTCAATGATAGTCATCTTCTATAAAAGTGTTCGATTGTTTTGCATATGATGGATTATGTCTCACATTTTAAGTTACAAATATATATATATAATCAACACATTTAGCCTTTCAGTAGTTTCATTACTTTGCTTTGCAGTCTTATTCAAGTACCGATATATTAATACAAATACATGTTCTTTTTACCTACAGATCATTAAACACTGAAAACACGGACAACTGCCACTAGTTACTTGACTTGTGATGACAAATCTCGAAATCATGGAGCCTCAGATTTCTTTTAAGGAATCCAGCAGTAGTGATTTGTTATCGTCTGGTGTAAAGATGGAACCAAGACCACATAGTGCTCCTTCAAGGAAAATTCTCCCGCCAGAAGAAAACCATTCTGAAATAGGACGATCAAGTTCTAGCCCAGTGACTAGGCTGAACATTCAAAGATCTGGACCAATAACTGGACTTGAAGCTGATGTCGGAATGCTAAGCACTGGATCAGAGAATGAAAATGACCAGATGCATATAGGAAATGTAAATGTAGTAAAACATGATTCCCGTCATCAAAAAGTACTTCTTCCTAAACATGATGAGGAAAAGTCAGACTCTCTGATAAAGAAGAAAGTAAGCAACAAAGTGTTTGATACAGGGAAAAACTATGGACATTCAGTTGGTGGTTTCTCACCTGGTGATATAGAGACAATGTCTGACATTGATCTGATGAAGGAAAGTTGTCTTCAATTGCCACCCCTACCCTTTGAAATTATAAACAAAGATGACAGACAACTGGAAGATGAAGAAGGGATGGAGGTGGAAGAGGAAATGAATGTTGATCATGTGGAAGAGATTGAAAATATGGAGGAAAGTGTCCTGAAAGGAACTGTGCCTGTAACAAAATTCAGACCAGGGTATGACATGCCATGACATGACAAAAATGAAATGTATATTTGTAAATTATTCTCAGGGATCAGGAAAAAAAGAATCATTATTTAGGTGTTACATATTTGAAACAGAATGAATTTCAGGAAACAATGGTTTTGCCTTCTATAGAAAAGTGACATTTAGTAAAAATACAGTTGGTTTTTATTTGTGGAGGGGATGGGGGTAGGAGGGATATGTGTGGTATCAAAAAAGGAAACATGATTGATACCTGAATGCAAATGATATCGATCATAGGATAAAGATTAATCAATAAAATAATTATATGAATAAGACGTAATTGTATAATATTGAAATGATTTATTGAATGTGACACGGTGATTATAGTCTACCTGCAAGGCCCAGAATGAATGGCATATACATTTCTATAAATTGTGGAATTAAAGTTTGGAAGTATTACATGGATTGCTTAGTTAGTTGATGGTATTTTGGTGGAAAACGTCAGGATGTTTTTAAAATTAGATAAATCACAGGTGACTTTTCAACCGATACTGCTGAATTACCTTGTGCGTAATAAGTATCTTGATTATACATACCATCTCGACATAATATCAGCAATTCTTGTCAATTAAATTTTAAATTACATGTTATGGATTAATGAACAATTTTCATGTCTTCTCTTCAAACTTGTAGTCGTATTGTATATGGAACCAAAGAAGCCTTGGTTGACATGGTGCAAGAGATGGTGGCCCTTCCTGAAGAGGAAAGTGGAATCTTTGTCAAAGAGGTACTTTTGTAGTACAAATCAGAAACATTATTCATCTAGTTTTGAATATATATGTATGCATACCATGATTTGCAAAGAAGTTTCATGCAATATACATCTACCAACTGTATGTGAACAATGGTTATGATATTTCTGAAGCATTATCTTAATACGCCCCCGGAGGTGGTCATATATTGGCGTCATCTTCTCCGTCAGTCCGTCCATCTGTATGGCCGTCCGTCCATCCTTTTCTTGTGAACGCAACTCCTTTTAAAATAATCAATAGATTTTCACGAAACTTGCTCAATGTCACTACTACAATGGGTAGATGTGGATGAAGGGGCGATTTTTTGGTTCGTTGATTTTTGTAAGATTTATGCCATTTTCAGCTTTGTATCTGTAGCTTGCTCATAGTGGAGCCTTGTGAACGCAACTCCTCCTAAAATAATCATCAGATTTTCAGATTTATGCCATTTTATCTTTATCTTTATATTTTGTGGCGACATATATTGTGTCCACAGCACTCTTGTTTTCATTTGCAGTGCCTGTTGTTTTTGAGCTCTGGTGAAGGAACACAAGTTATTAGAAAGAAAGTATTGGGACGAGGTTCCTTTGGAAAAGTGAACTTGTATGTCCATGATGAGACATACTTTGTTATCAAGCAGGTTTGTTTATTTCAGATGAATGATATCTTTTAAACAAAAAAAAACCACATTTGTGAAAATGAAATAGATAATATTAGTAGATTTTCTGCTTAAATCAGTGAGCATGTTTTGATTTTGGCTCAAAATTGTATTATGCCTTGAACATGGAAAAATGTTAAAATCTGCTTGTTGGGTAGTATTCTTAATAAAACATTGAATCAAATGAAGTGAGTTTCAGAGCACTGACCAACTTTTTACCTTGAACCTGAATGTTGTATACATATTCCGACAACAATGTACTGTCACACCGTCTAAACTGGAGGTTGTTGATGTCTCTCCCTTTTGTGCCTACCTACACAGAAGCTGGAGAATGATTAAGTTTATCTGTTTTCACTTAATAAATTGAAAAATTCATACTTGAGAAACTACAATTTTGAAGAAATCTGTTTTATCTTCTTCATGCTTTACTATAAAGCCCTGTCCTATATCAGGTACAAACCATAAACTTATACTAACTAGCCTCAGTTATTGTGACGCCTCACAAGTTAGTTCTTTTATGATGGGAAATGTTGGATGATCAAAGATTTTGCCTCGAATGCAAATATACAACCATGTTGTATAACACTTATCTTAAAAATAAGATATATAAAAAGAAAGAAAGACCAGGACAAATATCATTTTTTGATATTGTTGATATTTAAAATGTTATAAGATGTCAGGTTTTAAGATATATAAACAATAAACTGTTACCAGATGGGATATACAGTGGATATGAATCCCATCCGGGTGGAAGATAAATAGATTTTTAGACATGTATTTCAATCAAGAAAATGAAAACACGGAATACAACGTTTGAATTTCCCACTTATCGTAGGGTTGACGTCATCAGATCAGTTAACGGAAGGAGCAATGGTATAGTTCCTTAAAATATAGTTCATGTGGAGTAAGAAAAAAAAACACATACAAACAAAACCTTTGTGATGACGACTTTTATTTGGAATGCTATTGTTATATTTAAGTTAATTTAAAGTAATAAAACACAACTATAAAAAAACCAGACGAGTAGCTATGCGAACTAATGTTGTCGTAAACAGTAGTGATGCATCAAACCACGAGGCGATGCCGCCATGTTGGATATTGTCGAACGTTCAGAAATGTGTCTCTGTCTCACTTTCCAAAGTTAATAGTGCAACCATGAAGTGTTGCGTTTGTGAAGAAGCCAGGTGTTGACATCATCGCTGTATTAGACTGAATGACTAAGAATGTGTATTCATACGCTTGACCAGATGGGCGTGTACAGCCTGATATACTCCCATCTGGTTAACATAGAGTTACAGGGGGAAATGATAGTAGAATGGAAATATAAGGTAATGGAGTTAATCTTGCCCCTTGATTCTCTCCCTTTAGATTACTAAGGATTTCCAGAGGAATGAAGTTCTGCTGACAGCCAAGTTGAATAGTCCCTACTTGGTGGAGTGTCATGGATTGGTAGTCCGAAACAAGATTCCAGAAATCATCATGGAGTATGGAGGTAATGTCTCAATGTGTTATCACTAAAAGTGACTGGTTGAATAGACACTGACAGTAAAGCAGAATTTCAAGACAATGACTTAAAACTAATTCAAATACTAGCCTGGATGTATAGAGTATATATGTAGCCAAAAGAGAATGAAAAGTACCGGGGATTCAAGAGATGAGTTTTACACTAATCAGTCTCTGGTTTTACACTAATCAGTCTCTAGTTTTACACTAATCAGTCTCTAGTTTTACACTAATCAGTCTCTAGTTTTACACTAATCAGTCTCTAGTTTTACACTAATCAGTCTCTAGTTTTACACTAAACAGTCTCTGGTTTTACACTAATCAGTCTCTAGTTTTACACTAATCAGTCTCTAGTTTTACACTAATCAGTCTCTAGTTTTACACTAAACAGTCTCTGGTTTTACACTAATCAGTCTCTGGTTTTACACTAATCAGTCTCTAGTTTTACACTAAACAGTCTCTGGTTTTACACTAATCAGTCTCTAAACAGTTTTACACTAATCAGTCTCTAGTTTTACACTAAACAGTCTCTGGTTTTACACTAATCAGTCTCTAGTTTTACACTAATCAGTCTCTGGTTTTACACTAATCAGTCTCTGGTTTTACACTAATCAGTCTCTAGTTTTACACTAAACAGTCTCTGGTTTTACACTAATCAGTCTCTAGTTTTACACTAATCAGTCTCTAGTTTTACACTAAACAGTCTCTGGTTTTACACTAAACAGTCTCTGGTTTTACACTAATCAGTCTCTAGTTTTACACTAAACAGTCTCTGGTTTTACACTAAACAGTCTCTGGTTTTACACTAAACAGTCTCTAGTTTTACACTAAACAGTCTCTAGTTTTACACTAATCAGTCTCTAGTTTTACACTAAACAGTCTCTGGTTTTACACTAAACAGTCTCTGGTTTTACATTAATCAGTCTCTAGTTTTACACTAAACAGTCTCTGGTTTTACACTAATCAGTCTCTAGTTTTACACTAAACAGTCTCTGGTTTTACACTAATCAGTCTCTAGTTTTACACTAATCAGTCTCTAGTTTTACACTAAACAGTCTCTGGTTTTACACTAATCAGTCTCTAGTTTTACACTAAACAGTCTCTGGTTTATTAATGTGTGGTATGAGATAGTCTGCTAGTTGAATGTTCTATAACAGGTTAACTGCATTGATTTAAAGAATTTTTCAACCTGGTACTAAAATTGCAAGGTACTTGTGAAAATTGAATGTACTTTTAAAATTAATTACGCCTCGATGAAGTAATGGGGAGAGACCTATATACTCTAGTATTTTCAAAAATTAAAAAAAAAAAAGACAATTTGAATTTTTCCTTGACATTACACCAATAAAAAGTATTCCTCTAGAATTTGATTTATTCAGGGGAAAATGCTATCAATTGATAGAAATTTGTTAAAAAAAGATATGTGTATATGATATTACCAAGATGATGTTTTTTAGGATTTTTGATATTTTTTAGGATTTTTAGCTTTTAGTCTTTCAGTAATCTAGACAAGTTCACATTTTGTGGACAGTAAATGTCACTGTCAGTGAATTTCAAAATATTTTTGTGAGAATTGGAATGAGCGAGGGCCATTGCCTTTCTAAGTGAAAGAAAATTAGCTTGATATCTAAGAATCAACTAAAAAAAGTCTCACAAAATTTTCTGAACAGGTGCCATAAACTCCATTTCTTCAGCTTCGTATCAAATTAATTTTTAAGATTTGTCATTAGTGTTGTCACTGGTTGGTAGGTCAGTCCATGCTACAGATGGCAAGACTGAGAAAATTCCAGGACCGTGATGTTTGGGATATCACATACCAGGGATTGTGTGCCTTAGAATATCTGGAGGAGCATCAGATTTGTCATCATGACCTCAAACGTATGTATGACAAAACTTTAAGCTGTCATTTAGTAGTTGATATCAAGGGTTTTTAAGCTCACCTGGTCTGAAGGATTTGTAAGCTTGTGTTATGGCGTGGTGTCCGTCTGGTGTCTGTCAACTTTTTATTGAAAATTGCTTCTAGTCATGAATGATTGAATGGATTTTGACCACACATGGTTAGAAGCATCCTGTTGGAATAATCAAACATTATCCAAATTTGATCTAAAGCATAATTAGGGTAAGAGATGTTGATTTTATATAAACGGTGGGTCTCAGCTCTTGGGGCAGGAGGGGCTCATTGAAATAGTAAAATGATTCATAAAGTTTATTAAACTACATTTCAAATATTTGCATGTTATGTGTCTCTCTTTACATGTAGAGCAATGATTCATTGATAGGCCTCTTGTATGTGGTGGTATTGTTGCTTGCCAAAAGCCCAACGGCTATGTGGCCAGTGGCCTCTTGTTTATAAATTCTGGGGCTCAGTCCCATGGGGAAGGAGGAGCAAGGCCCAATATGAGATAAAGAGCAAAATGTTTTAAATCCTTCGTCTATAGCAATGCCTGACTGTTGTCCAAAATTTGGGCTTAAGCATGCAAGGGTAAAGGGGAATCTATTTTGAATAAACAGTTAGTCTTGGCTACTTGGGATGGGAGAGGAGGGGCCAAATAGGGCAAATTCTAAAATACCCTTCTTCTGTTAGAATGATTAAATTTTAAGTTCACCTCATCCAAAGGACCAGTGATCTTATGTCATGGGCACGACAGCAGTCTGTTTCTCTACGAATTGCTACTAGTCATGAATGACTGACAGGATTTTGATGGAATTTTGGTAGGAAGCATCCTTGGTGGAAGGGGAAAATATTTTGTATAAATGGTGTATCCTGGCCGCTCAGAGCTTGAGGGACAGGACCAAAAAGAGTAAATTTGTTAAAATCCTACCTTCCTGTAGGAAAGATAAGATTTTGTTCAAAGTTGGTTAGAAGCATCTTTGGGTGATTCCGCAGAGGAGTGGGGCCTAAAATGGTAAATAGATACAAACTGCTCAATACCTTATAGTTAGTTTAAGTGAAGCAATTCCAGCAAACTAGAACAGGTAAGTGATATAGGCCTCTTGTTATCATTTCCTGTGTGGATGTTTACATGGTGCAATTTAAATTCTCTAAAAATTTTGCAATGTTCACAGAAATTATTATTTTATTGTATTCACTGAAAGTTTAAATATACTCATAGTACTTTGTAATGACATAAATTAGTAATAAGTAAATTTGTAATAGTATTATCTTGTTTAACCTAGTTCTCACACACTTGGTTGATAAAATAGTGATGTAACGATGTCTTGATGTATATTCTGTGATGTAGCCAGGACTTGGTTGATATTTTGTCAATTTTAGCGGAAAATCTACTATTGATGGTGGATAATGGCCAATACTTGTTGAAGATTACTGACTTTGGTGCAGCAAAATTGATAGATGAGAAAAATGACATGATTGGTTGGACTGTGGAGTATCTGAGTCCAGAACGGGCTTGGGTTGTTCTACTGTCTAAGTGTCCTCAGCAACTTAAACCAACTGGACAGGAAGACCAGGACATTACAGGAAAATCTGATATATATTCCCTGGCATTGTCATTGATGTATCCTTATGACAGATCCCATGTGCTCATGAAGCACATCACAAATGGAGACAACATCTACCGTGATGATGACAAGCAGCAGGAGTTACAACTCAATTTGTTGGTCATGGTAAGAAAATTGTTGTTTAATTGAAGGCAGTTTTAGCTTGCCTGATTGGAAGGACTGGTAATCATACCCTGGTGTCTATCAACTTTGCTCATAGAAGCTGCTACTAGGTGACTTTTTTATGTAACCTGAGACTTTCTCTCAGGTCAACCTATTGCGATAGCCTTTTGTCCGTGGTCATATAGTGTGTGTCAGGGGTCGTAAACTTTCAACATTTTTTTTTTACTTCTTGGAGAAAACTCCTGAACTGGCTAAAGGCACACTAAAAGTGTAAATCATATGGTCCCCAACCCCCAGGGGCCTGAGGTGGGGGGCCAAAAAGGGACAAAATGATTGAAACTTCAAAAATCTTCTTCTCATATAGCATAGTAGAATCAAGTACTTTTCCTAGATGGAAAGACCTTCAAATGCTTCACCAGAATTGTAAATTTCATGAATCCAGGGTCTTGCATTTCCCCCAGGAGTGGGGTTAAAGTTTACTACAGTTTATAGAGGATAATAACATTTTTGAAAATTATTTATGTTTTATTGGAAATGGTTCAAACCTAGTATGAATAACAATGGAACCCACATAATGTCATGTCTGTTAATGTCACTTTCCAGTTAATATATCATTTTCTTGAAACACTGATTTTTTCCGTATATACTCTATGTAATCGTACATCTGATAATGTCACTTATTTTCATGTGGGAAAAGCTTGGTATCACTTCATTCTGCTATCACACAAAAAAACACAGGTTAATCACAGGTAAGTGAGGGCAGTAGCTATGGATTCATGTCTGAAGGGTTATACATCACACCTGGATGGTCTTGAAAAATAAGATTGACCCACTTACATGTAAGGTTCAGCTTGGTGGAAGGAAGTCTGCAGCATTTGTTTTTTTAATTGGCTAGTGCATTCCAAGTGTCAAAAAGGGTTTTAAACCCTTGTCACTTTGAACTTGACATAAAGCAACCAATGTTGGAGTGGGCGGAACTTCTTGAAAATAAGTCTTTAATATGGATACCAGGATTAATTTCAAAAACAAAAAATATATTATTTTTCAAAAGGCATTGAAGGAAATAATAACCCATGAACCATAATTTACAAAAATTTGTGTTTGTTTTGTTGCTTTTAAAATGACTTATGGGATACCAAAACATAGCATGTCAATGCTGTCTTTACCATAAACGCCATCTTTAATTTTACGAGAACACATTTCCGATACAAAGGTTAGAATGCTAAAATAACCAATGTGAACTTCATGTTTCGTGAAATAAAGTCTGGATTATTTGTAATAGAAAATTATCATACGTGCCCCGTAAAGCTTCACTGGGCTGCTTATGTCTTTGCTGATATCGTACTCATTTTTCTCAGACGTTTTGTTCAGGGTATAAAAATATATCAAATGGAACAAAGATTGGAAACCCAATCTGTCATAATATCAGAATGTCGACATTTTAATATTTCTTCAAGTCATTAATTGCTTAAATTACCATGAGCACTGGTAAGGTGACTGTGAAATAAAACTGGGTTTTCCCCAATGCTGTGTTTCACTACATCTGATTGGCCATTAAGAGTAACCACTAATTTTACCGCCAATGAAACGTGGCGTTTCGAAAGGTGAACAGTTCACACTCTGTTGGTTATTTTTGTCAACAAGGATCGAGTTACGATCTTCAGAACACATTTTATTGAAGTTGCAGAGATATATACCATATATATACCAACTTTACAATGATACACTGTTATGAAGCCTATATAGTAAAGGATGAATAAATTACTGAGTATACAACAAAACATCAGCTGATGACAGTTTTGTCACTTACGAATTTTACCACTTGTAAACTGAATATGACATGAGTCGTCATGATTGTTGACAATAATTTATGATAGGAATTTAGATATTTCAAAGAATAAACAAACAAAAAGTCAACGAAAGTCACTATTCTTATTGGAAAAACAAATCAAATTACAAATTTATTTTCTTCAAACAATTTCTGTTGGAAACAAGTCAGTTTGGCACACCTGAAAATTAACTTCCAGATTTAGATGTGCAGAAAAATGTGTCAACTGTTAATGTCACATTCCACTTATCACATTTTATCCTGACAATTAAAACATGATATTAAGCAGGGTTCACTGTATTAGTTTAAAAGATGAAAGTTTTATTGAAATGGACATATTGACAAAGGCTGACCCCCAGGGGCTAATGGGAGGGGTCAAAAATGGGTCAAATTCACTGAAATTCCAAAGATGTTCTACTGGTCATGGATGGAAGATTTTATAAAGAAAAATTCAAAACTTGAATGTAATTTCTTTTTATTCAAACTTGTATAGAAGCAGTTAATATATACACAACATTTGCTGTCATTTGTACTTTATAGTTAAAGTCTTACTTTTTTAAGATAAATATTTCTATGAAGCATCGTGACTCAGGTGATCATTAAGGCCCTTGGGAATCTTGTTTCAAATAAGGCCAAAAAGTATGCAAAGTTTTTCTATAAATTGTGGGCCATGAGGGGCAGAGCCCAAAATGTTCCTCCTTCTTCTTCAGTAGTTGTGATTGGATTTTGCCCAAATTCGGTCAGCAGCATCCTTTGTTGAAAGAGAATGATCTTTGTCAAAATAGGAGGAAAGTTATACTTAAGTGAATGGTCTCAAAGTACTGTGTATTATAGTTGAATGTTTCTGTTTTCAGCTGTGTTCTGACTTAAATCTTGCCTTGAATCAGATGCCCAAATCTGTTAGTACTGACATGAGGTTTGTTCTGAACAAAATGCTGCAGGGAGATGTCAGCAACCGATGTAATGCTGCTGAGGCAAAAAACTGGATGAATTGTAAGTAAGACAAATAATACCGTCATTAATACTTAATCATAATTTCCATATCCAAGACATTTTATGAGAATTAATGTTTAACAGAAATTTTTCTATTTCCCAGAGATTTTTGTGGGGAGGATATGGTCACCTCATTGTCTTTCTGTCCATCCTTTCATGTTAGGATGGTAACTTTAAACTGTGTTGCCCTATGATAAGTTTTTTTAACATTACTTTGCTTACCTTAAAACTAGGATCATGAAATTTGTTGTATACTTTGATGTGCAGTGTACCAATGTGAGGACCTGCAACCCCTTAAATACAGAGTTATTGTCCTTTTAAAGTTTTGATTCCGAAGAATAACTGCTTTCATTTAAACCAGGATGATAAATTTTGTTGTATACATTGGTCACACATTAAGAAGATGTACAATGTACCAAATTCAGTGTCTGAAAGCCCTTCATTACAGAATTATCTCCCCTTGTTAAAATGTTGTGGCAATAAGATTGTTTTTGGTGAGCATTCAGTGGATTTTTACCAAATAAATGGTGGATCTGACTTTGCCAGGTGTGAGATGCAGGTTCTAAAATGGAAAATTAAGCAATTTTTTAAAAAAATCTTTCTTTTTCTATTGGAACGACTGAATTTTGACCTAATTTGATGGAAAGCATTTTTATGTGAAGGGGACACAGTTTAATTCAAATGATGGGCCTCGTCCATTATAAAGGCACCAAATGGAGAAATTGAGAAAATTCTATAAAATCCTTCTTCTTGAGGAATGCCTCGATTGCCTTAATTTGGTCTGAAGCATCATTTGGTGAAGGGGAATGAATTTTGTTGGAAGTGATATGTATCAGCCCCTAATGCTTGAGCAGCAGGCTCATAAGGGTAAAAAGAGCAAGTTCTCTGAAAGCCCTACTTTGTAGGAATTAAGGATTCTGTCCTAATTTCTTCTAAGCAAACTGTAGTGAAGGAGACTTTTGTATAAATGATTTAGATGACCCCTGGTGGTCGAGGGCTGGACACTACTGGGGAAATATATATAAACTTTTAGAATTCCATTTCCTGTAGTGTCAGTACAAGCAATATCAGCTTATCAAAACCAGATGAGTGATACATGCCGTATGAACCTCTTGTTATAGTAAATAAGTAAGACAGGTACATGTATTAAGGATAAGAAATAAGTTCTCTGCAGTTTTGAGATATATTATTATAAAAGAGATGTGGCAGCCACTAAGAAGCTCTGAAACCTTCTAAAATATATTCTTGTTTGAATGTTTCAGTTTTGTCCAATTTGGCAATTCAACAAAGAGACAAGGGTGTTAGAATTCAAGATTCTAGTACACCATTAGACATTGATGCAACCACAACAAAGCCAGTTAATCAAAATAAAAAATTCACAGCAACGAGGAAGTCAGCAGCAAATGCAAAGAAATCATTATCGCCAGCAGTAGGTACATCACAACTACAGAGTGGCGAGGAAGTAGGCTGGGTCAGAGACTGTAAAACTGCAACAAGTGAAACCATGGCTAACCTGCCCTCAGGATTGAAGACCAGGATGGTCAAGAGGAAGTTACAAAATAAAGTAAAACAGGCAACAGATAAAAAAATAAAGACAAATCACAACGGAGAGAAACAGGATAATGAAAGCTGTGATACCAGTGGTGTTCCAGTTCCTCACACGATTTCGACGGTCCAAGGATCTGATGTCATCGTGATAGATGGCGATTCTGAGGAGGATCAAGAGCAAGAAAGTCAGCAAAATGAGGCACCAGAGGTAGAGCCTGGTAATGGAAACATCCCTAACTTGGATATGATAATTTAATGTGATAGCTTGCTTGTTCTGTATACATGCATAATGATAGACTCTGTCTTCTTGATGTTGTAAAACCAATGCCTGTAAAGTAAAACACGGATAAGTGGAAGTGGATGGGACCATATGAAATATTGTAATTATCTGATGGTTTGACATAACTGTTTTATAAATTGAGACATTTTTCATCGAAGATTGACCCTGTTTTTATCCGTTGTTTACTGGATACTTGTCTCATAGCATGGCATGGCAGTAATGAATAATAAATGAAGAAAATATATTTTGTAATTTTATACATTAATAATATCCAGTAACAAACAGTATGAATGTAAAAACAAAACATAATGTGAAACACTTGTCAATGAATTGCAGCAGAGGCCTGTATACCCACCCACTCTCATACACATAATTTAGTGAACCGATACCTTAAGTGATATACAAATATTGTACTTGCATTTACATCTTTAAGTAACAAGTCCCATCAACAATATTTTAAAATAAAACTCAAGAAATACATACTCATGAACATTTTACATTGATATAATGTTGAGAGCACTGGGGTGCGTTACAAAAAGGTGGAGGCGGCAGCACTGAAGCAAAACTTTACAAGTACAGCACCATAACAGCGTAACTGTCATAAAATAAACTCACTTTGTACATGTATATCAGTATATATATCTAAAATCATAAAGAAATATGTCAATGACAAACTAGTATTTTTATCAGTCTGCTTGGTAGTTATTGCTTGTTTTTTCCTTTTGGTTGATCGAAAATTACAATAGGGCACCTTAACATAGGTATTGCTGTCTGATCACACTCAGTCATTTGGACTAAAGTCGGAAAATTCTCACCTGAGCCGAGGTGACGCCTGAATGTTCAACACAAAAATGGGAATATAGGTAGAATTTTGAAGGGTGGACCTCAAAATATATATGACACAGATGCAGTACAGGACTCAACAGTGTTTGAATCATTCATGTTTAATTTACTAAGATAAAAAATATGGGGACCAAACAAAAACATTTGACTTATTTGATTATGTACAATACTTTGCTTGATGTTTAATAGGAAAATTGAAAATTGATTAAGTATTTATCATTTACAGTCTTAACACATATTTCTTTTATTTCACCCAGGAAGTGCTCTTTGTATTTATCATGTGTTACAAGGTGTTTTAAGTTTTAATTCTGTGAATAGTTAATTTTTTTCTCATCTTTGTATTAAATTTATGACAAATAATGGTAAATAAGTTGAGCATACGGTGAGGAAAACAGCTTCAAAAATTTTGCTGTTGTATATGTTAGACTGTCTGTTATTGAAGGATCAGTGTGGGATCTCAAAACAAGAACTTTAAACTGTACTTGGAACTTGTATACCATCTCAACCATTCTAGACAATTCAAAGTTCTGGTAGAAGTGATGTTTACAAGGAATTAAATGTTTAGAGGAAGAGTTGTAGATCATGCTAATGCAGCAAAAAATTTCTTTTCATGCAATTTATGATATATATTTATATACATATATGTATTTCAGTCCTTACATCGACATTCCAATGCTTCTATTGATGTTTAGAAATAAAAGGAACAAAGAAGAAAGAAAATCGGTGTTGTTGATTTTTGCTTGTACTATGCTGCCATGGACTTTAGACTGCTATCATTGTTTCAGCAAGCTAATGGTCATGTGTGGTAGCACTATGATACTTGGCTATTCATAATTAGTTTGCTGATTTCAACACTACACAGTTGACTCTGTTACCAGGTATTTGTTGGAACAACTTGAGAGCATTTGATTCCAACATGCAGCTATCAAATTTACGCGAAAATTAATTTTCTCACATTCTAGTCCTTGTACATAATATTTTCATTTCGGCATGTTTCTACTGTGTCTCAAATTTCCTTGGCAGTCTCATGTCATTGGTTATTTGTTAGCGCACAGAATGTATGAAACAGCAAATACTTCAGGCATCACCTGTGATGAAAATGACATTCGGAGTGACGTTAAATGATGGAAAGTGTCATATTGTACACAAAATAATCCATGACGTACATCATCTTGGGTTCTATGTAATGGAAGGATATCACCGTTCGACTGCAACCCTGAAGATAAATAATACTTGTAAATTGCATGCACGATATTTATCATAGAGTGATTACAATAACTAGGTGTTGGAAGAACCAGATTCATGGATGTCTTTTTTCCCGTATTTGTTATTAACTGATAAGTGACATTAGTACATTAGTGTACCTGTGATTACTACATATAAGTATATGCTAGATATTGACCTACCTGTGTATGTGGGTAATGGTTATGGTTCCAGTACCAGTTATTTTTCGGGATGCCGTCTCGGGTCACGTGATCTTCTGGCCCTATCTTTCCTTTCCTTCGGAGTCCCTGGTATCTCCCGCTTTTACTCCCACCATCTCCAGACACAGCCCAAGCTGGACATCCTCGCCAATATATTGCTTGGCACATTTAGAGTTCAAATAATTAGAAGAATTTCCATGTTCTACTAGAGATCTAACAGCCTGTCGACTAAGGACATAGCCAGCCCAGAGACGTATATAACACATGTGATATATACGTCTCTGGCCAGACCCCCCGGAAAACTCAGCAAAGGTGTGTTGTTTCACAAGAACAATGCCCTTGTTCACAAGTCTGCCATTACCATGGCTGCCATTAACGATTGTGACTTTGAATTGATTGAGCATCCGCCTTATTCACCTGATCTCGCTCCATCAGACTTTCTTCCGGTACCCGCTTTCGGTCAGATGATGACGTCCTACATGAAGAGTCAAAAAATGATTTCTTTGAAAGTGGCATTGATGCTTTTAAACATTGCTGACAAGTATATAGATACTGAAGGAATTTATGTTAAAGAATAAAGCAAAGTGTCCACCATAAGTAAAACCTTTTAATATAAGGCTCACAACGTCATGACGCTAATTTGATCTTCTACTGGTAATGTGTTATAAGAACTTCTATTCTGATGAAGATTTTTTTCCTCGACAGCAGTTTGATTCAATAATTTCTTTGAAACTGGTAATCTTTATACCCATTACATGAAAAGGTGTTTTCCTCACTTAGATTTCATTTTTCCTTCAACACATTTATTTTTAACCAGATTTCTCCTCAGTTTGTAACCAATTTCTTTGAAATCGGTAGGTTTGAAAACCACAACACGATATTATGTTCTGAAGAATAACATTATGACAGTATTTTCAAAAAAGTTATCGCCCTTTGTTTTTTCAGTATTTCATTTTTGTGCAGAGTTTTCTACCAGTTTTCCACACATCTCTTTCACAGTTGCTGAGCATAAATTTATCATTAAAACATTCACCCACAATAAGACCCCTCGCGCTCTTACATCCAGGCCAACAAGAGTGATAAGTATAAGCTGAAATAACTTGTTTTGCAATTGTTGTAAAACAACTAAGTTTTATATTATTAGTACTACTTTTGTTCAAGATTTAATTAATTTTGTATAAGTAGAAGTGTATGTCTAACGTGTTTTGGAATGGCAGCACCAACAGGCATCATTGTTTTCTTTTATAGTAAGTCTTGAATACAGATAAACTTTATAGGGTTTAGCCCTTGTACATAACTTTTGATTTTTACACTTTGTCAAATTCTCTTTTAAATACATTATAGATATGTTTCAGCTTGAACACCAAACGTAAGCTACCAAGTATTTGTTTTTAGTCTTTTGGTGAAAAAGAGCTGTCCCCAGTTGAATTGCAGCAGTCGTTTCTGCGTTCTGACTTGGATTTCGCCTTGAATCAGATGCCCAAATCTGTTAGTACTGACATGAAGTTTGTTCTTAACAAAATGCTGCAGGGAGATGTTAGCAACAGGTGTAATGCTACAGAGGATGAATTGTAAGTAAATCAGGCGATAAGCCATCTTTTAAAATTCACCACAACTTCCTTACCCAAGCTACTTTATATGAATTCATGTATGACAGAAAATTTCTCTCAATGGTTGTAGCACGTGAGTATAGCTATGAATTACAGCGAGACCGGAGACATCGTAATATTTATAGGTAAGGCAGATATTTAGGATAAAAAAGCAAGTTCATTGCAATTTAAACATGTATAATTGTTTTAAGTTATATAAACGAGTCGTGTCATCCACTAAAAAGCACTGAAACTTTTCCAATTATAGTCTGAAGCAGCCTTTGGCAAAGTGGAATTAATTTTGTACATGCAGTTGGTACCAGTTCCTTGCTGTGGGAGGAGCGTAGCCCATTAATTGAAATTGGGAAATACTTTTAAATCTTTTTTCTGTACGAATGACAGGATTCTGTCTGAATTTGGCCTGAAGCATGCTTAAGTGAATAATAATTTTGTATAAATAGTTTGATACACTTGAGAAGAGTACGGGGTTCAATCAGGAAATAAATAAAAACCTTTAAAATTCCATTTTACTTAAGTTTGAATGTAAAAATTTGAGACTGATGCGTAACCAATTCTTTGGAATTCTTTGGAATAATGGATGATGTAAAGTTCATTGTAAGAACAAATACAGACATGTTTCACAGACATAAATTAAATCTCATTATCTTTGTCTATATGCGATCTATGGTTGATCTATCAGATGAAGAAGCCTTTTATTAAAACACACGATTAAGAGGGTTCATACTCAAGAAAATCTAGAAGGGGATTGGTTCTTTCCTTTGTGTTTAAAGTATAGGTGACATCAAGAAAAATCTGTATAAACCTGCTTGGATTCTATTTTTAGATATTTATACAGTATTTGACAGTGTCTTAACACGTAAACTTTATTTTCTCCAAGAAGTACTTCGTGTGTTAATCATAATTACAAGGAAAAAGTGTTTTAAGTTTTAATATAGTTTATAAACAAGCTTTAAATTTATTTTTTGTGTTGTATATTCTAGACTGTGAAAAGTGTAAACACATGGTTGTGTTAAAAGTACGTTTCAGCAGTAAAATTTAAATGTTAATTATTGAACGGATAAATTATCGAATATTGAAACACAAACAGAGTTCATACCTATAAGCAAATACATTGAATACTAATAATAAAAATATGCCTCCCTGAAAAGAGAAACTGTCGTATACAAATATTGAAGGTATGTTTCTGCGATAAAGTTATGTTCCAATCGCCCCACAATGTACATCTGTGATCCGTCCGTATCGTTAGTTCTTGAAAAGTGGTCAAAGTGGCAGATAGGTGGCTACCTTGGATTTTGATTATGAAGGTTTCGTATGGTATCTCTTTAGAACTACTGGATGGAGCTTTCTCAATTTTGGTTTGCAGGTTTCCGTAGGTAGTTAGTGGTTTGGACTAACCCGAAAGCATAGCCAGCAGAAATGTCAAATTTCATATAATTAAGAGCAATAACAGTGCAAAGAAGAGAAAAGGGAAGAATCCAAGTTTCAGAGCACAAATAAAGGTCTAGTGATGGTGAGTTCCAGGATCACTCTGGGATCTCTGGTTATTGGAGGGATTTGTAATCGAATGTTGTGACGCTAACACACTTTATACTTACAACAAGATATCGGTTTTTAACCTGTTGTGGCCCAAAATGTTTACGATTATCTCCCTTGTTACATGTAGTCGAAATAAAATAAATACATTTTACTATCTCGATCTGTAATGTATTCGAGAAATTCAGTCTCTCTTTCATATTTAATAACCAACCCCCGTCCCCTTGTTAATTTTGTGTTATTGATTAAGTACTATTAATAATTTATGTAATTTTATCCTGATTAATTAATCTAAACATATTTCAGTCATTTTAATTCAAAAGGATTGGGCGCACAAGTTCTAGCAACTTATTAATCGCTTTCCCGACAAAGTAATATACATTCAATACAATTTTCACGTGATGACATAAGATAAAACGAGTACTCCATCGATTTATTGTACAGTAGAAACAGAAAGGAGGAAGGAAGTGAAATAAGACAAATGGTGAAAAGGAGGATAAGAAAGAGATGTCCCGATTATAATGGTTGTCTACTAAGTGGTTTCAAATAACTTTGTAGATTTTATGAAAAACAAAACAACAATAATAATATTAACATTTGTTTAATACGAAAGATCAACATTTCCTCAAAGAAGTGTACCAAGATCAGGTATAAGCTGATGATCAATATTTGGGAGGGAATGTAATAGTTCTGTTCTGATATATGAAAATTGAGAACGGTCAAAAAGGTAGTGGTATGTATCTTCATTTCCATCACCATAATGACAGGCCGGTGTTAAACAACTACCTACACGGAATAAATCATTTTCAGACCACTGCAGTTATGCCTTATTCTCGCTAAATGAACTGAAAAGTATCGACATTTAAATATAGTGCTAAGATGCGTGACTCAGGCAGTACATAATCAAGCTATAACCAGATAGTATCTAACATCCTATCTCGTTACGTCTGTTGTTGATTATAACACAATTTAGTTAGATTCACGTTTCTTATTCAAATTTTTAATAGGAATGAAAAAGAAGTTGAAACTTATGAAAAGGATAATAATTCGTAAATTACATCTCAATTAGCTAAATATGATTAATTGGTAAAGTTGCTAGGAATAACTAATGAACTTTTAAATAAAGAAAACAGATA